CCCAAAAAAAAAAAAAAAAAAAAAAAGCATAAAAAACCCTCCAACATAAACAAAAACATACTGAAATCCGCCTTATCAATGATCTCAAATTTCTTGCGAAAGTACTTCAGAATCACTTCCCCAGCAGCATCCGCGACCCTGTTCGCAACTTCGGCAAAGCGATCGAGGTCGTGATCATCAAAACCCATGTCAACGGAAGTGTCCACAATGTTAGAAAACTGGGAATTGGACGACATTACTGAAGAACCGAACTGGGAACGGCGGCAAGGGACAGAAACGGAGAGGGAAGGAGACGATTGTAGTGAGGAAGTCGAGAAATGGGACAAAAGAGAGATGGGTTTAAAGGGAATTGCAGGGGTCGAAAGAGAGGGGAAATTGGTGGCGGATTGAGAAATTGAATGCGAAAGAGAGAACATTGTAGCGAGCACGAGAGGGGGGACTGCAATGGGAGTAAAAGCGAAGAATCAGTGGGGAGAGAGCGACGAATCCGTGAAATAGTGGGAGAGGATGAGCGGGCGCTGGGAAAGAGCTTTTGGTATTATTTTGTGGGTTTAATTAATAAAAATACACTTTAATTTCCAATTTCACTAAAAAAAACACTTTTATTTTTATTTAAAAAAAAAACATTAATGTCAAATTCTCCTTAATGCCTATAATTTAAATATATATATATATATTAAAACGCATTTAAATAATATCTATACATTTTTAAAATGTAATAAAGAAGTTTTAAACTATTTATTTACGGACTAAACAATTTCTTTTTTTTTTTTTCTTTTTAAATATTCTATTCTTTCATTTCTCAATTTTAAAAACTTTTCCTTTTTTTTCTGTTTTTGTAGTATCAAAAACTTTTCACAAAATAAAAAATGCGTACATATACTAAGTTGAGTCTTAGAATTTGAAAACGGACTTAAAAAGCCATTTAGAGATCCTTTACGATCAATTATTTTGGCTGTTGACACAAGTCGATCCTTATTTCTTAGATACCGTCATTACTTCTTCTCCAGAAAAAGAAGTTCATGGCCCGTAGGCCTTTTACTTCCACGTGGCATTGCTACATCTGACTTTTGCTCATGGCAAAAAATCCTCCACTTTTGTCTCCAGTATGAATTTGGGTCGTGCCGTCCTAGTGTGACTAATCATCCTCTCGAACTCGAACTAGCTACTGATCATCGTCTTCTGTTATCATGGAGACCGTTCAAAACTCTACTTTTGGTCCGACTAGCTTAACTGTATTTATTTATTATTATTTTTTTTTTTAAGTTTATAGGGCATTTTAGTAATTATTTTGGATTCCATTATTATAAGGAAAATTTTAAACCTTCAAAAAAAGTTTAAAATATTTTGGGCATTTAAACCAATTTCAAATAGTATTTTTAAAAACAAAATATTCAATAATTTCCATTAAAAAAAAATAGCAATAAATATATTCTGAAAATTTAAAAATATAATTAAAAAATTTAAAATAATAAAGTAATAAGTTTAAAGAATATTTTGATTAATTTAAAAATACATTGGGATTGGCCTCCCATTAAACATTGGTCCTCTAAAGTTGAAAAGGTCAAAACATTGGAAAGAATATTTAGTAATTTCAAAGCAACCAACCAACCAACCAGAAATTAAAATTAAAAAATATATACAAAAAGGAGTTCTACAAATTAAATTCGACAGAAAACCACACACTTCCAAGATAGTTGGAAACATATCCACACCGAAATCCATAAAAACACATCATATCATTCATACAAACACAACACAGATTTGTGGACTAATGGTGGCCAGGAAGTTTCTCTTTGATCTTCTCAAGAACCCCCTTCTTCCCATGTTCTTGGTGTTCGACGTCCACCGTCGATGTCACGGTGGTGCTCTGGTGATGCCCCGCCCCCGTCGTTGTCGTCCCTGCCTCCTTGTGTTTTCCTGTTAACTTCTCCTTTATCTTCTGCGTCAACCCCTTCTTCTTCCTCCTCCTCCCACCTTGCCCGTCGTCCTCCGACTGCAACCACGACACAACATCAATCATATCTTCAAGATCATTCCCTTTACTTAGTTGGGAGTTCAAAGGATAAACATACCATTCATGGCAAATAATTGCATGGTGAAGTTCAAAGTTATTTGTCTAAATTTAAAGGAAAATTATTTATTATTTATTTATTTTTTTCCCCCTAGATTGACACCCGACATAAATCAAGATAGACAAAATGATCACATTACTTACTTGTCATTTCGTTTCAAAAAGGAAGATTTCATTAATATATCCCTTGTACCTCTTTTTTACTATGGCGTAAAAGCTCTAAATTCATAATCTCAACACACAACACACACAATTCACTCACCGAGCTAGAGCTGGAGCTGCTAGAACGAGCCAGCGAGGCATCATGGCCTTCCCTAAGGGGCTGCGTCCTGCCAACAACGTCCCCGCCACTGGACACGGGCTTGGACCCAGTGGTGGCAACTCCGGTGGGGTGCATGGGGTTGCCCAATTCCTCATTCATCTGAACCGGGTTCTCAACGGGCTTGGACCCAGTGGTGGAAACTCCGGTCGGGTGCATGGGGTTGCCGAATTCCTCACTCATCTGAACCGGGTTCCCAACGGGATGGGACCCAGTGGTGGCAACTCCAGTGAGTTGCACGGGGTTGCCGAATTCGTCAGTCAGCTGAACCGGGTTCCCTCGCTCGTCGGTCAGCTGGACCGGGTTGCCGAACTCGTCACGTACATTCGCCATTGATGAAGGTTCTGAAAATGGGTGAAGCTTTGAAGTCGAATTAAAAGCACAGAGGTTGAGAGGATTTAAATACAAATGGGGTTTGCATGTAGAGGAGAGAATTCCACACGTGTACACAGAATAGATATAAGCTTCCACGTGTGGGGATGTGTTGGGACACGTGTGCATTGGTGAGGGTTTGCATGGGTTTTTGGATTGATGATGTCGAAGTTCTCATCACTCTGTTCTGTTAGAAACGACAGCCTTCTTATATTTGTTCTTTAAAAAATAATATATTTATTAGATCCTTCAAAATTTTATGTTTACTTTTGTATTTAATAAATACGAAATTAAAATAATAGACAACAAAATCAATAGTTTTTTTTTTTAAATTAAAAGTTTAAAAAGTAATTAGATAGTTGTCTCAAAAATAATTTTTCAATACTACAATCTTTTAAATTGAGTCTAAAAAATACCTTCACAAAAAAAAAATTCTAAAAAATACTGTTATTTTAAATAAAAAATTATTATAATTGGTTAACTTTCAAAAGTAACATTAACAGTGAAGATAATCTATAAGGTTTCGATAGACAAATTTTGTCTAAAAACATTTATGAACTTTTTTAATGGTTAAGCGTGTTAAATAAAACTACTTTTTAGACTCTTTTGTTAAAGTGAATGGTATTATAAATTAAATAAACATAACTACAGAAGTTTAGCGATGATACATGAATTAACGAGAATGATACAATCATCCATCTGAGAATAGACAAGTGGATAAAATACAAATTATTATCTTAAAAGTTGATGATTCGACCAACAAAAAAAAAAAAAAAAAAGCAAACAAAAATGTTTGTCACTAAGATGACATAAATAGATGAGAGGATGGTGCTCACAAGATCATAGGAAGATTGGGGTATTGGAATCTGTTTTACACAAATGAGAGTGAAAGAATCTCAACTCAATAACATTTATATATATATATATATATCATATCTTTGATATGTATACAGACGTTTAAAATGGAGTTATGGAGTTATGAAGTTGACTCACAATTCCTGTTTCATGAAACATTCAAACACTACAAACAATTTCTGGGAGCAAAGCATTTGGCTGGCTGTAATGGACGAGGGAACACAGCTTCTTATGGCTATGGTTCTCCTGTTTCATGAATGCGACATAACGGGACTGTTAAAATCTTTCATACTTTGCTAGATTTTGCCCAGAAGAATCCTTTCCTTCTTGTGGAGTGATGATTATCAGACATCACTCTAGAAGATCCCTTCGAGCCGAAGGAGAAGTGCCGTTTTAAGAACGGCTTTCCTGAGGAGCTTCTAGTGCTAGAACTCGCAGACATTCTGGAGCCCTTTTCGAGACGGGCATGGTTTTTGAAAGGATTGTTTGATTCAAAATGGCTATCTGCATTACAGTTTTTGGATCTCTTGTATAGACTCTTCCAGTCCATTTCAGCTTTAAGCGCCTTTTCGGACAGCTTCTGCGTGTGCTTCTCCCCGAAGGTACAAACGGGACAAGCCGGGTCGTACTTGTAAATCTCGGGTGTCATACTCTCCAAGCAATCGGCATGATAAACATGTCCACAGGTTAGTACAGCAGCAACAGAAAGCTCGTTGTTAGCAATGATCCTTTGGCTACTCCATGAGGATTTCTCGGTCAATAGTTTTGAGCAAACTCCGCAAGTTTGCAAATCAACTGAGGAGGTTGAAATTCGACTACTAGACCTGGCTATTTTCTCACCGTTAAAGCCGAAAGAGTCGCTATCAAAAGACCATCTTTCTCGATGAGAAGTGGCCATGAGCTCAGAGAAAGCATGGACAGACCAACAATCTGAAGACCCTCCATGTGAGTCACGGACCGATTCGTTGCTCCAAGAGGGAAGCCTTGGTCTATCTTCAGAAGCTAAATAGCTACCTGGTGATTTTAATCCTCGGATTCGGTTGTCAGAACCTTGACGCAACAGCTGATGTCCTGGAGATCGATGGGTACATCTTGTTAGGGATGAATTGGTTGGAGGCAGATAGCTCTGTGATGATAAAGGAGAGGTTGACAAAGATGAAGTTGAAGGCAATGAAAGTGACAATTTTGCAGGAGACTTATATGAGGCTGTGGGAGAATCCATAGCCTCCTTCACCTGCTTGGAACAGAGAAAATTGCATCTTAATGGACTATAGACGGGTTTAGAAAAACTTAACTGGAAAAGACCTTATGTTACCTGTTCTAAACTCACATCTGTTGATACATTCCGTGAATTTGATTGACCTGCCATGAACAACTAGCTGATGTGAGACATGAACACAATAAAAAGGCTAACTGTTTTTAAACTGGTAATTAAACCATTTAATCAGGTGGAGGGGAGAAACAAAGTATTTGCAAGAATCCTCAATTGAACAAGTTTAATTTGTAGAAGGTACCATCTTGTATCCATAAGGTTTTATAGAAAGTACCATTAATAAACCATTTTTCTCAGTTATTTGTCAGCAAAATAAGAATCTCAGTAAGAGCAAAAACCAAGAATAATACCACTAATTTAATAAACATTGATAAAAACAAATTTAAGGAAATAAACTCCATAATTGGATACCATGAATTATTATCTGGAAATACAACCTCAACCGCCCCCCTACCCAAAAAAATGAAAAAATGAAAAAAAAAAACTTCATTTTCTTCAAACCTTTGTCTGTTCAATTTGCACAAACTTGCAAGTTGCACACATTAAGGATTAAACGTGGTTGGATTTAGTTAAGTAGGGTTAAAACCAAAAAGACCAAACTGCACAGATAAGATAGAAACTGATGATTTCCGACGGTTTATGAAGACTTATAGACTGAACTTTAGCTCTTGCAATAGGTAGGCAGACTCCAAATTGAGCAGCTGTTACTGGTTATGCATGGGTAAACAATATTGATTAGAGAAGGGCAATAGACAAATTAAACTGCAACGCAAGAGAGAGAGATAACGGTGTTGGTGGGTGGTGCTGATAGGAAGAATGAGCAGTGGAGAGCGAAAGGATTCGAGAAAAAATGGAGGTAGAAATGAGAATAATGGGGTGGGTGAGGCAGGGAGGAGCAGTGCTGGTAGGAAGAACGAGCGATATTGAAAGTGAAAGGATGAGAGAAAAAATGCTGGTACTGATAGAGGTGATAAAAGTATGGTAGAGAAGCACTTATAGTAAGAATGAAGGGAGACTAAGTTGAGAGAATAAATGAAAGGTGAGATTTGAAAAAGAAGAAAAATAGCAATGCATTATTAACAAGGGTCACCAACCAACCAATCAATATGTCTACAAATGATTTCATCACTCGTAAGAATGAACTAATGCTAATCATGTTGGTCCCTCTCGGTTTGATCAGTCCTTTTAATAATTAATTCACCCCCACCACATATTTTCAACAAAGAAAACATTGGTTTGGAACCCCTATACAAGGGGTGCAGCTTGCCCCTGTTTCTAAGAGTGCTTATGCACTCTACTCGTTACCACTAAACGACAAAGCCTTGAGCGGAAGGAGGGACTCGAACCCTCAACCTCAAACTAAAAAGCTAGTTCGGTTAACCATGGGGATAGTAATGAGAGTAATGGGGTAGGTGAGGCAGGGTGGAGCAGTGCTAATAGGAAGAACTTGCGATATAGAAAGTGATGTGTAAAAGATAAAATGAAGGTACTGATAAAGGTTATAAAGTTGGGTAGAGGAGCACTTATAGTAAGAACGAGAGGGAGATGTAGTTGAGAGAGTGAGTGAAAGTGAGGTTTGAACAAAAAGAAAATTAGCAATGCGTTATTAACAAGGGTCACCAACCAATCAATCAGTTTTTCTACGACTGATTTCATCACTCTTCAGAATGAACTAATGCTAATCATGTCGGTCCCTCTCGGTTACATCAATCATTTTAATAATTAATACACCCGTACTACATATCTTCAATAAAAAAAAACATAACCAAAAAGCTAGTTCGGTTAACCATGCATTCCAAAAGAGCAGGAATTTTCCATTTGATGTTCGATGCAAAATAGAAAAAATGCCTACACACAAAAATCAGAAAGAGACGAAAAGACTGAGCCACAGAACAAAACAAACTAGAGTAACCAGAAGTTGTAATAATTAGAGACCTACATGTTTTGCTAGCTATGTGGCAGGTGCCAGTTAGAGGTTTAGTTGTTCTCCCATGTTCTTTTGCTTGCTCAGGTGAGACAGAGTCGAGTATAATCTTTCAAGTACTCCCTTCTATTATTTTAGAAGCGACATTGTGTCCATGGAATTTCAGTCATATCTTCATTGATGTTCATGCTTTATTGGTTTTAAACAATAACTAAGATCTAGGTTCTTTAACTGATGAGATTGAAAATAAATTAACAAAGAGTTCCGTGCATGCATACTTGTTAAAAACAGGAGACTGAAAAATGCAAAATCAAATGGAGAATATAAAGGGGAATGAAAAAGTAAGATTTTTCAGAGTTATATTCGAATTTAAAAACTTTTAAATCCTACCATCTGGGTGATTACCTGAACTAGGAGTCCTCAAATTATTAGTTGTGCCTTCTGGCGGTGGAGACTTTTGCCATGTACGTCTACGGAGATGTTCAAGTGGACTATCATTGCGACTAACACCATCAGAAAACCAATTTATCGAAGTCTCTTCGCCAGCTACTCGTCCACGATTATCCCATCGAAAGCTCCAACTAGGAGAATACCTCATATTCCTACATAAGGTTTCACTTCCAGATCCACTAACTATAGTATTTTCCCTAGCAGCAACACAACACGCAGATCCCATGCTGGAGAAGGACCAAGATTTTGGTTTTTATGACTTCGCCACAAGAGTTGCTGAAGATCTTCAAACGTAGAACTTTGAGAATAACCCCAGCACCATGCCTCTCAAGGAAACGCCAAACTGTATTTTGTCTAAAATCATGATAAACAGAGATTATCATAAGATAGGACTATAAGGCCAGGAAACGATGTAAACACTAGAATATACAGAAACCCATCCACAAATCATAGAAAACCACCTAAATTTTTCAATGTAATAATATCATTTGATCAAAACCCCTTAATCCAATATAACTTAACTACACGAACCTTTTCCAACTAAAAATAGAACAAAAACAAACGTGATTCTCAAAGTTCAGACAAAAGCATCTCCTAAACTGAAGAAATAACATTTGGAGTACACAAAAGTTACCCGATGGGATATAAATTCTTGGATTTCGATTCCCATTTCCAAATCACTATATGATCACCACCACACAAGAAAGCACATCGACCATAAGATGGAAATCCTAAGCTTTTCCTAGTTCTTTAAGCAAACCGGGACTTCCAATAAAAAACATCCTCCATTACAAACGCGTCGAGTTTCTACCTTCACCCAATCGGTTTTGGTACTAATTAATCACACTCACTGAAAACACAGACAAACACAACCGCACAAGAAACTCTTCTTTTCACGGAATAAATGGACACAGATTCGGTTCAATCTGCAAAATTTGTGGAAGCTGTGAGTAAGTCTAAATTGAAAACCCTAAAATTAGAACTTCGAAAAGGAAAAACAGAGATTCAATCGCTTAAACAAGTCAGCGAGATCCGAACAATTAGCATACAATACGCAAACAAATTCAATCAAATGCCACCATAAAAAATAAAAATTAAAAATTAAAAAACTAAACATACAAAACCAAAAACTTAATACTGAAAACCTCCAAACTAATGAAAACAAACAAAAAAACAAAGGCCTCATTAGAATCTGAAACTCCATTAGTTCAAACAAAAGCAATCAATATACACCGAAATGATCTAAAGCGTACCTTCACAGAGCCCAATCCCAAACTCGAGAGAGAGAGAGAGAGTTTTAGAGGGAGAAATGGAGGAGAAGGCTGAAGCTGGTTTTCTTCACAGCACAGAAAGACTGAAAGGGTAGTTCTAAACGGTTTAATTAACGGCGTTAGGGCATTTGGAGAATCTTCCACAATAGTAACGTTTGGGAGTTAACGGCGGTTTAAGTATTCTTTTTATGTACGGTCGTTACTTCGGGGCTTTTCCGCCATGAAGCCTACGTGGATTTTATTATTATTATTATTATTATTTCAAATTACTTTAAAAAAAATTAAAAAAAATGAAATTACTCAAAAGTATGCTTTAAGTAGCTCTGTACTTGAGCACTATTATTGCTATATATATATATATATATATATATATATAAAGAATTGGTGGTGCAATTATAAATCCAGTTTATGTGATTTTTTATAAAAAAAAATAATTAAAACCCACACTAATAATTATTTAAATAAAATGTTTAAATTTTCATAAATAAATTAATTCAAATTTTGTTTCTCTTAATTATATTTCATGTTTTAAAATTGTTAATACATATTTTTTTTCTTTTTAATTATATTATTATTTAATAGTATAGATGATATTATAATTTTTTTTAGAGAGTAAAATAATACAGAAAAAAAAATTACTAAACATGATTTTTGTTTTGTTTTGTTATTTTTATTTTTTATTTTTTTGTAATAAAAAAATGAAATAAGAAATGGCAAAAATATTATCAAATTGGTCTTACAAAACTCAAAAGTTAAAGGTTAAAGTAATAAAGTACTTTAAACTTTAGATTTATTTCATTTATATAATTTAAAAAATTAAAAAAAATACTCTTAAATAGTTTTTATTTTTATTCTTTAAAATAAAATAAACGTGTAAAACTAAAAGACCATACTATCATTTACATAAATTAATATTAAATTAATATGATAATTGATGTGTTAAAATTAATTATTTAAATATGAAATAAAAATAGGGAGTGAAAATTAAGCAAAACCATGCTTTTCACATTACACGCAAGCATCCCACTACTTTTCTTTTATTTTCCCTTTTTTTATTTTATTTTTTTAAAATATGTATTATATATTTTATTTAAATTTTGTTTCTTATTAAGGATATTAATTATTATATGAATTAACAATTATTTTTTAATCTAGAATTATTGTTGTTGTGTATTTAATAATTTAATTTATTTATATCATGGATTTAGCTAAATTGATGTGATAATATATTTATAACCCACAAAACTAATTGTGGTTGCTATTATTAATTAATCTAAGAACACATTTTGTGTTAAAGATTAGTATAATTATGATTTTATAATCTCGTATAATTTATAATATGTTGTAATATAAATTTTTTATTTTAACAAAAATAAATCAAGTTTGTAACATGAAATTGATATGGGTTCATTACTTGCTTCCATTTTATATCCATTCGACCATCTTTTCGAGAATTGACCATCTTTTCTTCAAAAATCTCGATGTGGGACACAGACACAATTCAGAATTAATCCTCTTTTACATATAATAGATTTTCTAAGAATTAATCCTCTTTTACATATACAATTCAGAATTAATATGTTGGATGATGAAAGTCTCACATCGGCTAATTTAGGGAATGATCTTTGGTTTATAAGTGAGGAATACTAACTTCATTAGTATGAGGCCTTTTGGGAAGCCCAAAGCAAAGCCACGAGAGCTTATACTCAAAGTGGACAATATCATATTATTGTGGAGAGTCTTGTTCGTCTAACATGGTATCGGAGCCATGCCCTAAACTTAGTCGTGCCAATAGATTGGCAACCACATCAGCTAATTTAGGGAATGATCATGGGTTTATAAGGGAGGAATACTAACTTCATTGGTATATGAGACGTTTTGGGCACATCAGCTAATTTAGGGAATGATCATGGGTTTATAAGGGAGGAATACTAACTTCATTGGTATATGAGACCTTTTGGGTGGGAAACCCAAAGTAAAGCCATGAGAGCTTATGCTTAAAGTGAACAATGTCATACCATTGTGGAGAGTCGTGTTCGTCTAACATAATCCTCATTTATATATAATTAATTTATATATAATAGATTTTCATTAGTATAATAAAAGATAAGGGGTGGGGGACTTAATGGTCAAAAATGCTAAATTAGAACATAAAAGATGGATGATTCAAAGACTCGAAATGGGTAGAGGCCGCGCGGACGCAGGCCCCCACTACCACAAATTATGACGTAGGCTCTGCCACGTTGAACAGACCTTAGAGTAGAACCCCTCCAAAAGTGCAATGGAGGACACTAACCTAGGCCATGGACCTTCTTGATCGCCCAAAAACCCCGTCCAGGTAAGTATCTTAATCGAAGCCTGTTGCTTCCTTTTTATACTCGGTGACCATGTATCTTCTTGTAGACTCTGTCGATGTGGGACTAATAGAAACTAAGCCTTGTTTAGCATTTTCAAAGGGATCATTTTTCTTGTTTATTTAAAATACAAAAATTTAAAAATTTTAATTACAAATTATTTATTAATTTTTTTATATAATTTGAAAAATATTGATTTTGGAAAGAATAAAAAAAATACAATTAAATGGCAAATTTTATGTTACTTCAGTTATGATACAAATAATAATATAAGAGCGTGTTAATAAGATATGAAATAATATTAATACAACATTTACATATTAAACAATGATTCAATTTAACCATTATAATTAATATTAACAGAAACGGACTAGTTTGGGTAGGGGCGAACGCAAACCCCACGCTACCACTTCAATTATTAGTTAGTTTTTATAATAGAAAACTGCTAACGCCCATAATCTATCGCTAGTAGATATTGTTTATTTGGTCTTTTTCCTTTCGAACTTTCCCTCAAGGCTCTAAAACATGTCTGCTAGGAAAAGGTTTTCACACTCTTATAAATAATGTTTTGGGGATGTTTTGTTCTCCTTCTCAACTAATGTGAGACATCACAAATGATATCAGAGCCAGACATCGAACGATGTGTCAGCTTTCTCGTTGTTCTTCGAAGGAGAGTAGACACAAGGTGATACACTAGTAAGGACGTTGGCCGAAAGGGGTGGATTTGGTGGCAGTCCCACATCGATTGGAATGAAGAAAACAGTGCCAACAAGGACACTAGGCCCCGAAAAGAAGTAGATTGTGATGTCCGTTGGTTGGAGAAGAAAATAAAACATCATCTATAGCAGAGTTTTAAAGTCTAAATAGGTTCATTAAAGAATAATAAAAAAAACAAATTATTATAAGCTTTTAAAATTATTATTTTGCTCTTCTTGCGTTTGTTGGATGATGAAAGTCGGGTTTATAATCTAAGAATACACTCTCCATTGGTATGAGGCCTTTTGGGGAAGCCCAAAGCAAAGCCACAATATCATACCATTGTGGAGAGTCGTTTTCGTCTTGTTAAATGTTTTACCGACATAAAAAAAAATCCCGGGAGGACCTCAAATGGTAAAAAAGTAGTAAGGCCTTTTGGGGAAGCCCAAAGCAAAGCCACAATATCATACCATTGTGGAGAGTCGTTTTCGTCTTGTTAAATGTTTTACCGACATAAAAAAAAATCCCGGGAGGACCCCAAATGGTAAAAAAGTAGTAACTGACAAAGCTTTTAAAAGTACATTGTAAAATATGGTCGAACTCTTAATTCAAAAAAGTTAAGAAAATTACTATTTAATATTCAGATTAACATTATAAAAATAAACAAACTGGGAATGTATAATTACTTTACAATTAATCACACCATACATGGTACAGATTTTTAACTTGCATTGGGTAGGGGCCGCGCGTACGCAGGCCCCCACTACCACAAATTATGACGTAGGCTCTGCCACATTGGACAGACCTTAGGCGAGAACCCCTCCGCCGTGCAATGGAGGTCACTAACCTAGGCCATGGGTCTTCATGATCGCCCAAACACCCCGTCCAGGTAAGTATGTTGCAACGTAGCTAGTTGCTTAGTTTTTATATCCATCCATCCATTTCTTCTTTTCATTTCTTTCGATGTGGGACTGATAAACTTCCCACAATTCCATTGAGACCTTTGGAAACTATATCATTTCGATTAATTGTTCTATAGCCTTAAGATACGGTGACTTAAATATCCAACTTCAATTAAAAAATTTATATACTTATTAATTATCGATTATGCTCTATGGTATTTTTTTATATTTATATTCTACGTTTGTATTTAAATATTATTTGATAATAATTTAGTTTTTTTTTTAATAATTGAGAACATATTTGTTTTATTTCTCAATTGAATTTTTAACCAAATTTCGAAAATAAATATATTTTTTGCTCAATATTTTTTGAAATTATTATTTTTTGTCTTCTCTGTTCATTACTTAATACAAAATTTCATCAAATGGTATCTAATATGGTAATTACACGTATAAAGAAGTCATTATTAAATAATAATAAAAAAAATATAAATACACTAAATAAATATTTCCGTCGTTGGTTTTATTGAAAAACCAAATCAAATCAACTCTGAGTTGAATTATAATTTAAAAAATAAATTTATTTTTTACCATACAATTATTTGTGCATATGTTTTTAAAATTTGATCAAAACTCCTCTTCCATGTATATTAAAAAATGATCAAAAATATAATTACATTTCAAAATTTATAATTTTATGTTTAGAAGAAAATTATACGAATAACAAAAATAATAGGTTACAAGTTTTTTCTTTTGAATAGGGGACGCGCGAACGCAGGCCCCCACTGCCACAAATTATGACGTAGGTTCTGTCTCATTGGACAGACCTTAGGCGAGAACCCCTCGACAGTGCAATGGAGGTCACCAACCCAGGCCATGGACCTTCATGATCGCTCAAACACCCCGTCCAGGTAAGTAGGTTATTATGTTGCCCATTGCTTTCCTTTTATACTCATTTGCCCATTCCCTTTTCACAATTCTGTCGATGTGGGACAAACAAACTTTGAAACTAATCCTTTTTTATATACAACACATTTTCCTTGGGAATTTTAAATCAATTCTCTCCATACACACTCCATTGAAAAAGAGAACTATATAAATTCCAATTTTATTATTTTTTTAACGACTTTACAATTTAATGATCGATTTCTACCATCTTCAAATGTTGAATGTGGGGACTTAATCACCGAGTTATATTCATATTGGAGATACCCGACCCGATTTCTACCTGTGGGGTAAGTAAGATATGAGGACTTAATTGCGAGATACTGTTTGATGACTTGATTTATAGTGTATAAATTATGGGGACGTAATAACGAGATACCATTTAATGTCCTCCAAGGCAATCAACAACAAAAAAGACAAAGACTTGGGCCATAGCTACACGCCATGACCCAAGTGGGTCCGAAAAATAGAAGCAAACCCAGCCAAGGTCGAGGCCGAGCCTAGTCCATATGGTTTGAGAATTAGCTCGATTTGAAGGTTGACCTTAATGTTAGCGAAATCAATACCAAAATAGTATTATATTAAAGTATATTGACTACTATAATGATAAGGTAACCTATTCCAAAATACACCAAATGTATACATCAAAACATTACTAAAGCTTTATATTCATATATATATCTAAGTCTGTGACCATAGTATATACTATATATATTATACATATAATATGAAACACATGATATTTCTGATTATTTATTTATAAGCTAAGGTAGTGGTAAAAGAGCCCATATTGGTGGTGGATTCTTTTGTTTTTTTTCCCTTAGTTGGGGATGAGCTTGAAAGGAGGCTTCACAAAAGATGGAGATGGATCATATCTTCCATAGTCTTTGGTGTTTACCCTCAAAAGCCTTTCATGGACATCCTCCATTTCATCTCGTGTCGTCCTCTTTCGACCCTGATGATCAAGTTCAAAGCTTTATCGAAGTTAGTTAGGGTTTGGGTAATCTCATAAATATATGGTTTTTGAAATTTAAGCTTATAAATACGACTTTTATCGATACGAGTATACACAAATTGGGTTGGAAATTGTTTTTTGAACCAACACAAAATTTCGAGTTGGTTGGGTTGATGACCATAATAACCCGAATAGAGTTCCCAATCGAACCAAACCCAACCCACTTGAGTTGGATTGACCTGACCAAAATAATGTCAATCCGTGAACTTACTCGAATTTTTTCAGTTTTCCAAAAATCCAATCAAACCCAAATCTAAAAAGAAGAAATCTAACCAAAATCAACCTTCAGAGTTGATCAGGCTCTTGAGTCATATGAACACCCCTACCTACTACCAAGTTTCGTTTTTATTATCTACCTTATATCAATGTTTTCATAAAACCACGTCGATCTTTAAAATCTAAAAAGATGTAGTTTTTATCTTTTAATTTTGATTAAAAATTTAGATGTGTTTCTACCTCCAATCTAAAACAACAAAAATATTGACAAAAAGAGGCCCGTTGAACGTTAGGGTTTCTATAACCGAGCGAGAGACTTACTACTCAGGCTTTAGACCTACCCGTTTCAAAACATCCATTTGTCATGTCATACCATTAATCTAACTTACACCTTCACGGTATAATTTTGGTTATTCATAACAAAAATTTTAGACCAAATTATCACAAATAAGTTTCATATAACTTTCAACCATCCCGAACACAACTATTTCGTTACGAGTCACTCAAGTGGGTTACCCAAACAATTAAACTTTGGATTTAATATAAATACAAACCTCATGCACAACACCATTAACAACCTCATGAACCAGCTTAGAAGGTCGACCTGCACAAGAAAAAATAAAAAGTGCTTATAAAGAACTTACTTTTACTTTTACATTAAAAAATCAGTAATTTTTTCAAAAAAGAACAGACCTTATTTCTCTCCTTAATTTACACGAATAACATATACTACGCATGCAAATAAGATACTCTTTAGTTGTCGGAAACAACATGTTTGAATAAATTTTTGTTTTTGTTTTGCTTTACTTTTTTCTCAAATGAAAAAGTAACAATCCAAATCAAAGTAGCTTTTAAAAATTGTCTATACACTTTCAATTAACACCTCGAGTTGGTTTGGGCTTAGAAATTGTATAACGTGACATATTTGAGAGTCGTTTCGATAAATAATTGAAATCAGTCTAGTTATATTCAAAATATAACATTCCAAGTCTACCACTAGTAAATATTGTCCGTTTTAGCTCATTACGTATCGTTGTTAGCCTTATAGTTTTAAAACACGTTTGCTAGGGAGAGATTTTCACATTCCCCTCTCTAACTAACATGGGATCTCACAATCCACCTATATTGGCATACCGCCCGGTGTCTGGCTCTATATCATTTGTAACAGCTCAAGCTCATCGTTAATAGATAAGAGTGTGGAAATCTCTCCATAATAAACGCGTTTTAAAATCGTGAGGCTAACGTCGATACATAACGGAATAAAACAAACAATATCTACTAGCGGTGAGTTTTGACTGTTACACAAAATCACAAAATAAACAAAAACGTCGAAAACCCACATGCTAAATGGTAGATAAAAACATGGGCGAGTTCACAATGAAACATGTACGACTTAGAAACCTTTAGCACTTCCAAAATAAATGAAAACATCGAAAGCCCACTTGCAGTACAGATGGTGGATAAAAACGAGGTTGAGTTCATAACGAAACATGTACTACAATTACGAAATCTCTGACACTTTCAAATAAGCAAAAGCGTCGAAAAACCCACCTGCAATGCAAATAGTAGAGAAAAACGAGGTCGAGAGGAGGAGGAAGAAGAAGACGAAGCCGAGCTTATACTTGAAAAACATGATTCCCAATATGATAGAAACAACCTTAATGATGATTTGTGAGTGTTTTTCAAAGTAGGTCTTTCTTCTTCTTCTTCTTGTTTTTCCAAAGAGCATAGAACCAAATGATGCTTCCTCTTATGTATGAGTTATAGAAATTTGGTTATTAATTATAAATTATTATTATTATTATTATTATTTAATAAATTACTTTAATGCTTTTTTAATTTAAAATTCAAATGAAAAAGGGAGAAAGAGACCACTTTTCTTTTGTTGGGGCACTAAGTCTAAACAAGCTTTAGTGGATTTTTAAGATATATAATTGGGATTAGCGTCCACGTGAAATTACCTCATTACCCTTCAATTTTCCTTTTTTTAAAAAATATTTAAAATTTATGGATTGGACTAAATTAATGTGATTTAATGAAAATAGTATTTATAAACTTAATTTAAAAATTAAGTAATTAAATAATTATAAAAATAGGAGATTTTTAAAATGTTTTTTTAAGGATAAATTATAGTGAATTTAAACAAATTAAAAGGAAAAAAAAATTTAAAACTATTTTTTATAAAAACTTGAATTTAAAAAAAAAAAAAACTCACGACCCATTTGATAAGTATTTATTTATTTACCTTCATTTTTTAAAGTATATTAAAAAAGTAGGTAATAAAATAAAATAAACTATAAGTAGAATAATAATTATAAATTTAATTTTCAAATTTACTTTTACCCAAATTTCAAATGACTATTTTACTTTGTGGTAAAAAAAAAAATTGGTAAAACCCCCTTGGGATTTGGAAATATTCTTTGACGTATTGAAGGAAGAAACAAAGAAATAAAAATTAATGAGATATTGGATGTGTAATTAAAAGGGAATATAAGGACTGAAATGGAAAATTTTTGGGTCTTTTATGCAATTTCCCATAAGTGGATTACATAATTAAATAAGTAAGTGCCTTAAAAAGGAGAGGAGGAGTTAGGTTGGGTTATAAAGTAAGTTTACGTGGAAATAATAGTGTGCCATTATTATAAATCCTTAAAAGACAAGGACTACACACCAAATACCACTAAAAATGACCCACATAATTGCATCAATGGAGAATAAAGAGACTCTTAGATTTTAGCCTAGATCGTTACGCCTTTCGTGCAGGTCGAAACTTACCCGACAAGGAATTTCGTTACCTTACGATCGTTATAGTTACGGCCGCCGTTCATTGGGGCTTCGGTTGCCGGCTCCCCTGTCATCAGGTCACCAACTTCCTTGACCTTCCGACACTGGGCAGGCGTCAGCCCCCATACATGATCTTACGACTTTGCGGAGACCTGTGTTTTTGGTAAACAGTCACCCGACCCTGGTTACTCCAACCCCCTTTGTGAGGAGGCACCCCTTCTCCCGAAGTTACGAGGCTATTTTGCCGAGTTCCTTAGAGAGAGTTGTAACACTAAAATAATACCCCATCTTCCCATATTTACCTTTATGTATTGCTTTTAATCTTTCGGGTGAAGATTTTGATTATGAGATCCCACATCGGTTGAAGAGGGGAACGAAACGTTTTTATAACAGTGTTAGAAATCTCTCCCTAGCAAACACGTTTTAAAAAACGTGAGACTGATGACGTACGACAAAATAGACAATATTTGCTAATGATGGGCTTGAGATATTACACTGATAACCTAAAAAATTAGATCAACTCAACCCAATCCGTATAGTTTTGGTTGGATTATGAACTTATTTTGATTAACTATCTGAAACGTATTTTTTCAAAATATTGAGTTTCGCATATGTTTTACTGTGACGCTTTCCATTTCAGTGACTCGATCGAAACAAGAGCAATCCCGAGAATAGGATAACTAAGAAATGTTTAAATATCTATACAAGCAATGTACACTTTCCATTTCAGTGACTCGATCGTAAGAACTCCAAAGCTCAGTATTGGTCTGTGACTATGAAGAATGTCAGGGCCACCAGATGTCGAATTCAACTTTCCAAAATATTACCCGAACACTCAGTTGGTTAAGATTTGCATGGAGTGATAATGGTTTGAAAACTAATTTAATAAATTAAAAAAAAATGAATATATATGTTACCGTTAATTAGCTGGCAAATTACGTCACTACATCAAAATTTAAAAAATAAACTTATTTCTCTTTTGCCCCTCTTTGAATCCAATAATTGGGTCTTTTTGTGGGGTTCTTTTAGTAATTTAGGCAATATTCTCTTGAATATTATCTAAAATTAGTATTACTTTGTTACAGATGAAAAATATTTGAAGATTAATATTTATTGTTTTGTTTTACCCAAATGTATGGATATTTTGTTAGCCTAAGTTTTTAAGAATGAAATTAATATAGGTATGGTACATAAATTTAGTCCTAAGTTTAGCAAATATTCTTTTTGTTACCGTCCAGATATTCAAATTCAATAATGTCACTATAAATACCTTACTTTTAATATATATAGAATGACAACCATTCTCTTACACTATCTTTAGTTTTTATGTCGTTGAGCGAGACAACAATTGTGCTGCATTTGTTCTAATCCAGCGAATAAGTCAGTCGTGTGAAATTTTGACTATACAGACAATAGCGATGTAAGCTCGAGTCTTGGGTCACGTTTGAGAGAAATATTTTAAAAAATGTGAGCGAAGAAATACGTTGAAAACAATTTTAAAGAAAGTAATGTTGTAACCTGAGTAGAAAGAATTGATAACTAGTCACATCTTGATTTTGGTGACCGGTCATATACCCCGTATTGACACAACAATAATGGTAAAAATCTATCCAACATGAAAGCAAGTAAAAGGGATTTGGAACGGACAAACGACCATGGACAACACATCTTAGACAAACATGATCGGGACATCCGACATACGCTTACAAACAACACGCCTTAGACAAACATGACCGTGACACTGCTCACTACTAACAATCATCAACAACCGCTGCCATTTAACGTTGAACGACCACTAGAATCCATAAGTTACACTGAACACCGACGATGATGGACTAGTGATAGTGTCCTTTTTTATAGTGATTTTACACAAATCAAACTTTCAGAAAATGTAACCAAACATTTTTTTAAAAAAAAAAAAATTATATAGTTTTTACACAAAATGCTTTGAAAGGCATTTTTGAAAAATATTTTATTTACGGGAAATCAAAATAAATGGATGCTCGAGTAGAATGATCGTAGGATTAAAGCAACTAGATCGTGTTAGGATTGATACCAAACAATAACATATTATAACGAGTGCTTCGTTCCCTTCTCCAACTATTGTAGGGTCTCATCTCACAATCACTCCCCTAAGGGGGCTAGCTAGTGACCTAATTGACGCGTGTCTATGATACAATTTGCAACAACTCAAACTCACCATTAGCAGATATTATTTGCTTTAGCTCATTATATATCATTATCAGTCTAACGATTTTAAAATGCGTCTGCTAGAGAAAAGTTTTCACACTCTTATCATGTTTCGTTTCCCTCTCCAATTGATGTAAAATCCCAATATAGTCTCCTTAGCATTTCAAATATTTCACTAGCAACTTTCTCCGGGTACCCCTAGAACTTTTCTCCCTACCCATAGGACATTTGCACCTGCCCGAGGACTCGGACCTAAAAAACATCTAGAGTTTTTGGTATCAAGCTAAACTTGGGACCTCTAAGCACGTATGACCCAAAGACCCCAAGCCAATGTAAACAAGGCCGCCACTAATCGATAACAATGTATTAAGGCTTAGAATAGAACTCGAAGCTAAACTCGAAAGACGTGAGTAAAGTAAGGGACCAAATCGAAATATTTAGAAGTTACTCAAGAAATCGAAATATTTCATCTCCTTCAATAAATAAATAAACAATGATTCAGAACCCCAACTCACTCTCCTATAACTTATTTACAAGAAAAAGAGCAGATTGTAAGCTAGAAATTACAAAGCAGGAAAAAAAAATGAAGGAATTCTCAAGAACAGCATACAAAAAATGAAGAACAATCATTGAATTCAAATATATAGAATGAAAAAGAACATCATCAGATCAGAGAAGACTGACAGTTTCCATGGAAGTGTGAGCTCATGAAGTTGAAGAAGCAACAGCAATTGATTTACCATTTTCATGCCTCAGGCTGTTTTCTCTGCTGTAAGCTGACTTTGCACCCTGAAAAGTTGGCAATACATGGGTTAATCAACGTGCACGTAATAACGCAACCGAACCGGTCGGTCTCAAATGGAAGACTTTCTTATGGCTCACTCTTACTTGGAACACCGCTCCTAACTTCTTCAGGGCTCTGGCTCGTAGCTTCAGTACGTCTTTCGACACACTGGGGTCTCTAATAACCTGATAGAGAAAAGAGAGTTATGGTGAATTGACATGACTCCGAAGTTTATGTCATGTTAAGGCACAAACAAGGACGGACTACTCGTTTTCTTATAAAAACGAACTGGGAGTTCATTTATGTTGTGTTTATTTTCGAGGCTATCTTGCCCATCTCTTCCTTTTTACGGGGAGGGGGGTGTTGAGATGAGAACGGGAACTAGTTTCTACTTTCAATATAATGTGAGAATACTAAGGTTGATGATTTTCCAATCTACATAAGAGCTCGGGTGACTGGTGAATGATGATTTCCTAGTTAAGACGAGAATACAAACTAGTTTCTACTTTCTATATGTTCTCCAATTTACGTATGAGCTCGGGTGACCGGTAAACAACGATTTCCTAGTTAAGATGAGAATGGGAACTAGTTTCTACTACGCTAAAGTTGATGATTTTCTAATCTACATAAGAGATCGAGTGGCTAGTAATCGACGATTTCCTAATTAAATATGAGAACGGAAACTAGTTTCTACTTTCTATATATGTCTTCCAATTTACGTATGAGCTCGGGTGACCGGTAAACAACGATTTCCTAGTTAAGATGAGAATGGGAACTAGTTTCTACTTTCTATATATGTTTTCCAATTTACGTACGAGCTCGGGTGACCGATAAACGACGATTTCCTAGTTAAGATGAGAATGGGAACTAGTTTCTACCATGCTAAAGTTATTGATTTTCTAATCTACATAAGAGATCGAGTGGCTAATAAACGCCGATTTCCTAGTTAAATATGAGAATGGAAACTAGTTTCTACTTTCAATATATGTGAGAATACTGAAGTTGATGATTTTCCAATCTACAGAAGGGCTCGGGTGACTGATAAACAACGATTTCGTGGTTAAGATGAAAATGGACACTAGTTTCTACTTTCTATATATGTTTTCCAATCCCGTAGGAGCTTGGGTGATTGGTAAACGACGATTTCCTAGTTAAGATGAGACTGGAAACTAGTTTCTACTGATATATGTATTCCAGCTCGGGTGACCGGTAAATGACGACATCTTAGTTAAGAGTTTCTAGTGATATATGTCTTCCCGTCTACGTACGAGCTCGGGTGACTAGTAAATGACGATTTCTTAGTTAAGATGAGAATGGGAACTAGTTTCTACTTTCTGTATGTGTGAGAATACTAAAGTTGATGACTTTCCAATCTACATAAGAGCTCGGGTGACTGATAAACGAGTTCTTAGTTTAGGTGAGAACGGAAACTAGTTTCTACTTTCTATATATGTTTTCCAATCTACGTAAAGAGCTCTGGTGACCGGCAAACGACAATTTCCTTGTTAAGATGAGAACGGGAACTAGTTTCTACTTTCTATATATGTGAGAATATTTTCCAATCTATGTAAGTGCTCGGGTGATCGGTAAACGATGATTTCCTAGTTCTCATTTATGTAAAAATCATAACCTCGGATAAGTTATAAGTGCAAAATATAAAATCAACCTCATAATCCTGACTTTAACAGTCCTAGCCTGGGCAATGGTAGTTTAACTTAAGAGAAAGTATGATATTGTGACTTACTACAGAGCAGACACGTGACAGAGTAGATTCGATGTCGACCACATTAATCTGCCAAAGTGAGTTAAGAACAGCATCTTTCTTCTCTTCAATGGCTTTTGCCAGGTTCTCGTCTCGGTTATCTCCTTCATTCAGCCGCTTCAACTCTTCCTGTAATTGAATCAAAGAAACAGCACCTAAACAAAAGTGCAATGGTTAGGATCGAAATCAAATGTTCGAAAGCTTTATAAACAAGAGAGAAGATTACCTGAAGCTGCCATCACTTGTGATTTTATCTGGTGTCCTTTATCTCGCACCCACTCGGCTAAAAACGGCACTTTCATATAACGTCTGTCCCTCCCAAGTTCCTTCGCAGCTTTCCTTGTGTATATGTATCCAATGGTGTGCAGCATGGTCTCACCAAAAGCTGATTGCAAATAGCTTGTGGGTAATTTGTAGCTAAAGATGCTAGTAGATATTGTCTTCTTCGGGTTTTCCCTTCCCCTCAAAGTTTTAAAACGCATATGCTAGAGAGATGTTTCCACACCTTTATAAGAAATGTTTTGTTCCCCTCTCCAACTGATGTGAGATCTCACAATCCACCCCTCTTGGGGCCCAGCGTCCTCGCTAACACACCTCTTGGTGTCTGGCTCTGATACCATTTGTAACAGACTAAGCCACAGCTAGCAGATATTGTTCTCTTTAGGCTTTCCCTCAAGATTTTAAAACGCGTCTACTAGAGAAAGGTTTCCACACTCTTATAAGAAATGTTTCGTTCCGCTCTCCAACCGACGTGGGATCTCACAAAAAGGCATATAATGAATTTGTTCCCCAAGCATTATGGAACTTGCCTAAACTAGAATGTTTTTATAGAGAAACATATATATGGTTATACATACCAGCATTGGAGAGTCGTCGTGCTTCTGAACTTGCCCATGTCACAAACTCATCAACCCGACCATCAACATATGGTTGGAGGCGCTCTTTCAAAATGTTTGCAAGCTTTTCTTCCCTTTCCTTTTGAAATATCTACATTTTTTACAAGTATGGGTAAATGCCATGACAAAAGTCTGCTTTTACATCTGCATCATTGAAGGAAAAGAAGCATACCTTTAGCTTTTCCTGAATTTTTTGCTTGCGTATCTCGGGGTCTTGTGAATCTTCCTCAATCTCGAAAGTTGATAGAACAGCCAAAGCAAGCTGACCAACATACTCTTCAAAGAACTCACTTCCAAACAGCATACCGAACACAGCTGCAGGGTCTACCATGGTGTCCCTAAAAAACACGGAGAAAAAGATCAAAGGATTATCATATACATCTTTTTTGCAAAAGAAGAAGAATGAAATCGATCAATGGAAATCAGAGCCGCTAGCATCACTTGCGACGAATAAAACTTAAAAGACTAGAATTGTTTCTTCAGTAAGTAATTTACAATACACGGTCGCATATTTAAGTCATCTGCAAAGGATTCTACCTATCGCTCAGAGGATATTATGGTACAAGGCGGCCCTTGAAACTTATCCATTACAAGGGCTTAGACGACACGTGCCTTTGGGGGCCAAAAGGCCCCAACTGGTCAACAAAAAGCAACGTCGCTATGAATGCTTGGCTGCCACAAGCTAGTTATCTTGTGGTAACTTTTCTAACACCTCTAGCTTCAAATTCCGAAGGTCTAAAGGATCGATAGCTCATCGCTTAAGCTTTTAGGTTTATCAGTAGTTTAATATGGCATTAGAGCCGAATGCCCTGTACTCAAATCTTTGAAATTTTATTTTCTCATCTCGATTTATGTCAATAGTCACTAAGTCCCGTGCTAGTTTTCAAACCAATAGTTAACGGAGCATGTTAACCTATTAAATACGCTAACCTATTAGTTTAAACTTTCTATCTCAGTTAAAGAAACATACTGTTGTACTCCTGCCTTCCCATACTTGTCGTATGCTTCACGCTTCTCGGGATCGCTCAATACCTGATAAGCCTCTCCCAGTACCTTCACAAGGACAAAAACAAGCAATTGTATAACGAATCGCATATCCGGCTTGCTGTTTAGCAATAAAACTAACAGACTAAACAGGGTTAGGAACTTCAGTTCACCTGAAAATTTTCCGCCGCTTTCGGATCTCCTTGATTTTTATCTGGATGAACTAGCCTTGCCTGAAAAATAGACATCAAGGTTATGAAATGTCCCACTCCCAACACTAACAAAGTTCCCACCCTAAGGTACCCGTGTCAAGACTCGGGATGTCGTTGAGGCTCTCAAAGACTAGCCGGGTGGACCAAGAATGATGCAAAGAATGAACCAATACTCCATTACAGAAAAATAAACCAGATCATAATATGAAATGCAGCTAAGAATCTAAGACTAAGAGGCAACTTAACAGAACAATGAAAGTCTAATGAAATTCATTGATCATCATAGCCATGGATAAATCACCTTAACGTAGTATGCCTTCTTAATTTCTGCAGAGGAGGCATCGAATTTGACACCCAATACATCATAATAACCAGTCTCCTTCACCATATCTTTTGAATCTCAATGCCTTTCAACGAAATAGACCAAATTAGTCACATGGGTGAAGAACAAACAAACTATATAAGATCTGAAATGGGAAAGAAAGATCAAACCTAACCAAATAGAAATAAATGAAGAACAATTATTAATAATTATGATCATAATCAACAAGAACAAGGGCATCCAAGAACATCAGAAGAAAATTAAGAAATCAAACGAAAAAGGGAAATAAAGCCCACTTACGAGGTATTGATGGAATCCGATCCGGCGACCTGAAATTGAGAAACTAATGATAGAGATGAGGAAAAAGAGAAAAGGGTTTGAAGGAGGAGATGTAAAATAGCGGAAAAACACGGCGGCGATTCGGATTACAGCGACGGAGGAAGAATCGGAGAAGATGCCCTGCCAACGAAGCTATGAATGGGGACGGTGGGAAAGTGGGAAATCGGCTGTAACGCGTCGGAATCTCTTAAAACGGGCAATAATATGGAGTAAAACTTGCTTAATTGAGATGATCTGATGGGTTTTTTACGTGGTTCCTAGGAATTCGTTGGCTTTCCGACACGATTTTTGTCTCGGTGAGTATGTTCCGACGTGTCGTTCATCCTCGAGTTTCTTCCTTCCTCCAAGTGTCGTCTCGTGAAAATTTCTCATCCGTCCAATTCATTCATACCAAATTTAATAATTTGTTTATATATTATAAATAATTTATTAATTAGTTTGAAATATGTTAAGATTTATATATTAAAAAATTAAAAAAATTAAAAAATGTATTTGTTTACTAAACAATTATATATATATAAAAATTAATAATTTAATAACTTGAATAATTTGTTTATGTATTAACTATTTTAGTACGCTATTAATTTATTTAGTTGAACTAAATAATTCAAATTTATCGTTAATTTTAAAAAATATATTTGTTTACTCTACAATTATATATATACATATATTTATCACATTTATATTTAATTTCATAATTTTTTTATAAATTATTCTTTAACTACTAATACATTTTAATTTTAATTATTTGAGAAGTATTTTAAATAAATATAAAAATTGGGCTATTTAATTAAAAATTAAATATTTTAGTCTAATAATAAAAAAAATTAAATAAATAATCTAAATCAACTTGTTTTAGTTGGGTTTAGAACATTATTTAATAAGTGTTATTTTGAGTGATCTCTCCTACTTCTCGAGTGATATCTCGTACTTCATGTGCCCTTTTGCTGCCTACCCACATGAGAAGATAGATTCATGGGTCGATTGTGAAGTTGGATCTGGCATTGGATTGTTTTGTGCAAAACTCGTGGATCCACATGTGCTTCGTGTTTGGCTACTCGTGTCTTGCATGCGAAGTGTTTGTTGAAATGCTCGTGAGAGATTTTTATGTTCAATTGGAGTTTGTGACTTATGGGTTGGCTGAATATGACTGGTTTCTGCTAAGGAAGCTCATTAGGTGTGGTTTCTGTCGTGCATATCATCTCTTAGTTGCATTTATTTACTTTGTTATTGGTTAGTAGATGACTAGAATTTACTCTGTTGTTACCCTCTCTCTGGTTTAATCATGTGACACAAGGCTTTCTATAGCCTCTGATGTACTTTCCTCAAAAGAGCATTACCTTTTCTTTTGTTGCGGCTACGAGGAAGACTTCGTTCCCTTCTTCAATCAATGTGAGATCTCACAATCTACCCTCTTGAGAGCCTAGCGTCCTCGCTGTACACCACACAGAACCTTGCTTTGATACCATTTGTAATAGCCCAAGTCCACTTATAGTAGATATATTGCTGTTAACCTCACAATTTTAAAACTCATATATTAGGGAGAGGTTTCCTCACTCTTATAAGAAATGTATCATTCCCTTCTCCAACTGATGTGGGATCTCACAATCCGCCCTCCTTGTAGGCCTAGTGTACCGCATGGAACCTGACTCTGATATCATTTGTAATAGTCCAAGCACACTAATAGCAGATATTGTTCGTTTTTGCCCATTACAAATCCCCGTCAACCTCACGATTTTAAAACACGTCTATTAGAAAGAGGTTTCCACATCCTTATAAGGAATGTTTCATTCCCTTCTTCAACCGATGTGGAATCTGACAATCTATCCCCTTGAGAGCCTAGCGTCCTCACTGGCACACCGCACAGAACTTGGCTCTGATACCATTTGTAACTGTCCAAGCCCACTGGTTATTGTCCGCTTTTGTCCATTATATATCATCATTAACCTCTTGATTTTAAAATAGGTCTACTAAGGAGAGGTTTTCAGATTCTTATAAAGAACGGTTCGTTTCCCTCTCCAACCGATGTGGAATCTGATAACAAAGGAAGTTTATTTCAATGGAAATTCAACATTAGAGATGTTTGGTGGACCTTCTTGACCAGGTAGAGCATTTGAAAGAAACTGAGGAGTTTTAAAACTACTGTTGAAACTGACAATCTCCTATGTAGAAATTTGATATGGCAATATCAATCAAAGTGAGCATTGTTTGCTCTAATGTCTTAAGCTTCTTGGTTAGTGATTGTGGGAGCTATGGTTGGGAAGTGGCATCATAATTAAGGCAAACCTTATGGATTGATGGGGCAATCCATGAATAATTGATTACTATCAACTGTTTGCTCTAAAGCCTTTGCTCTTGTTTGAGAATGAACGGCCCAAGTCCACTGCTAACAAATATAGTTCTTTTTGGGTCTTTCCTTTCGGACTTCCCCTCAAGATTATAAAACACATCTACTAGGGAGAAGTGGCATTTTCCCTAACCCACCCCCTTCAAGACTCAGCCTTCTCGCTGACATATCACCCGGTGTCTGGCTTTAATACCATTCGCAAAAATTCAATCTCACCGTTAGCAGATATTATCATCTTTGAACTTTTACTTCCAGACTTCTACTTATGGTTTTAAAACGCATCTACTAGAGAGAGGTTTCCACATCCTTATAAAGAATGATTTGTTTCCTCTCCAACAAATGTAGGATCTCACAATCCACCCCGTTCAAGGCCCAGCATCATTGTTGGCACACCATCTCGTGTCCACCCCCCTTTTGGACTCAACCTCCTCGCTAGCACATCGCTCGATGTCTGGCTCTGATACCATTTGAACAGTCCAAGTCCACTGCTAGCAAATATTGTTCTCTTCAGGTTTTTCCTTCTAGGTTTTTAGAACGCATCTAATAAAGAGAGGTTTTCACACCCTTATAAAGAATGTTTCATTCTCTTATCCAACCGATGTGGGATCTCACAGAGAATTACAAGAATACGATTAAACCTAGTGACGGATGACTTTATGTAACTATTTACTACCATGTTATTTCCTTTCTAGCTTATACTTCATGGTACTTTGCAGATACTCCGTTGATTCCATGCTAGATTGTGATTCAAAGTATACTGTTGAATCTAGTGGTTGATTACTTTATGTAACTAGTTCATCTTTCTCATACGCACGTGCTCGAATGTCCAAAACACCACTGAATCTAGTGGCTGATTGCTTTCGCTCGTAACACGCGCTTCAGTTGACCATGATCTGTGGATCTATTCCTTATGATCTTGTATCTTTACATCTAGAATCCAACCTTTCTTTATTCTAAGAGGAATTTACTTCAAGATCTCTAGTTGCCATTGAAAGCGTAACTTGTAGTACAAGTATTGAATCTTTCCGATTCTTGCAGGCTAATTTGATGCAGACATAAGGGCACTGCTACCCTCAGATGCTCACATGACAAGCCATGGATTATGGACAAAGGTTTCTTTGCAGCCCAAAGTTTTGGCTTTGGAGATTCCCCCTCAAAACCATTGCACTACAGAGCATATGTTCTTTTTAAATCTTTACAAAAGACTTGTTTATCACTATCTCTACAAAGAGTGACCCACTTATTTCTGTCTTGTAGGTTCATGTACTAAAAGCATCATTTTTAAAGGTAACCCCATGACTAGTTTTTGTTTCCAAAAAGGTTTTGAACACTGTCGTGAGTTGCGAAAATTGAGATCGTATAACTTACTTTATGTATAGTCTAGGCCTACCGCTAGTAAATATTATTCGTTTTAGCTTGTTACGTGTCGTTGTTAGCCTCACGGTTTTAAAACGCGTCCACTAAGAAGAGGTTTCCACGTCCTTAGAAGGAAACACGTCTACTAGAGAGAGGTTTCCACACCATTGTAAGGAAACGGGTCTATTAGGGAGAGGTTTCCACACCCTTATAAGGAATGCTTCGTTTTTTCTCTTCAACTGATGTGGGTTCTCACAATCCACCCCTTTCGGGACCTAGCATCCTCGTTGGCGCACCGCCTGGTGTCTGGCTCTGATACTATTTGTAACAACTCAAATCCACTACTAGCAGATATTGTTTATTTTGGCCTGTTACGTATTGTCGTTAGCCTCTAAACGCGTCTGTTAGGGAGAGGTTTCCACACCCTTATAAGAAATGTTTCGTTCCCCTTTTCAACCAATGTGAGATCTCACAATCCACACTCCTTGGGGAACTCAGTGTTCTCACTCACACACCACTTGGTGTCTGGCTCTTATACCATTTGTAATAGCAAGTCCATCCTCCTTGGGTACCCAACGTTCTCACTGTCACACAACCTGATGTTTGGCTTTGATATCATTTGTAATAGCCTAAATCCACCACTAGTAGATAACATCTGCTTTGGCCCATTATGTATCGCCGTCAGCCTCTAAACGCACATTAGGGAGAGATTTTCACACATTTATAAGAAATGTTTCGTTCTCCTCTCCAACCGAAGTGGGATCTCACACTCTATCTGTCTCGATTTGATTAGCAGATTGATATGGTTCATAGATTCACAAATGTTCGAAGTGTTCAAAGTCATTTTGACAACGTGAAGATTAGACTAATAAAATAAGCCTAAAGATTAAACTAATCACCTTTTTTTTCCTCCATTAACTTTATAAAATCTTACTTTAAGAGATAGTATAAAGCCTGAGAAAAGAATGCCCCTTCAACTTCTAATCAACACCATCAGTAATGCCCATATGACTTCATTTGTCCCATTAAAATATCTCAAATGACAAGATTGTTGGTCCCAATACACATGATGAAGCCATTAAGAAGAGAGCATGGCCAAGCACATGCCTCTCACCATTGTTGAACCATATTCTGATACCCAAAACTGATGAAGTTGGTAGCAGACCAAGCTTTTGTTCCTCCAAAATGGGTATCACATCAAAAGGGAAAGCTAAAAAATGGGTAAACAAAGAAGGTTTGGTTTTGGATTTGGTATGCTCTATGCTTACTCTTTTATGTTATGGGCAAACTGTTTGAAATTTGTTGCTTTTTTTTTAAAGTGGACCTGAGATTAGAAACCACCATGCCTAACTTGCTGTACCTCTCACCAATGGATATCAATCAACTTCCCCCTTTTTAACTTCATTAGCTTCAGTCAAAATCCAAGTTGAGAACACCCTTTTGTTTGTATTGATTTTGAAGAGTAAAAGGCTGGTAAAGTGATACTTTATTGGAATTTGGATCTAATTTTGTTCGTCGTAAAGCGAGGAATGTTGTGAGATCCCACATCAGCGGTAAAGGGAAACATAAAATTCCTTGTAAAAGCGTGGAAACCTCTCCTTAGTAGATGCATTTTAAAATCATGAGGCCGACGACGATACGTAAGAGATCAAAGCAGACAATAATTGCTAGTAATGGGCTTGTGATGTTACAAGCGTACACATGTTGTATTGAAAAAATCTTTTGGACCAACCTGAAATTTTGGGTTGATTGAGTTGGTGACTCGAACAACCTGAATAGAGTTCATGTAGTCTTGGGGATTTATTATATGGTACTACCTCCATGCCAGGTTTTGAGGTTCTTGATGAGGTATGCAAGCTAAGAGAGTCTTTCTTTATATGATTTGAAACTTTCTTCTCGACGGTAATACCGAAACGTCGTTAAATTCTTAGATAATCGGCATTAACTCAACCCAACCTAAGCCAACCCTCTATTTTCAGGTTGGTTTTTGTTGAGTCGTGGAGCTATTCTTTTTTTAATTATTTAAAAAATCATTCTTATCTATGATGTACGTTACATTAATAACTAACCTCTCGTAAAGTTCAAATATCAAATATTTAATATTTACAAGTCATGATGCATACTAACATAACTATAAACGTTAAATATTTTAAGTTTTTTAAAATTAGGGTTGAGTTGTATCTCTATTTTCAGGTTGGTCAGATTGATTTGACAAAAATATATATATATATATATCATCCTAAACACCAAACCAAAATTTTCATTTTTCAAAAACTCAACCCAACACCGAACTAATTTTTTTTTAACCCAACCTTTATGATTTGGGTTGCTAGTCTAATTTCTCTCGAATTTAATATTTTTGAGAAATTTCTCCAATTTTCTAATTCATAAAAGATTTTTTATTTTTTTTTTGGTATTTTTAAATGGCCACATGAAATATACTATGAAATAAGAAAAATTGATATTATATGTGAATGGATATTATCCAAGTGGCTAAATTGTATTGAATGTTTTAGGTAATTATCCAAAACTTTAATTTTAAAATTATTTAAAAATATTTTAAGTAAAAATATTTAAAATTATTTAATATTTTCCAAGACATTATAATTATTTCTAAAAAAAATATCATTATTTTTTATTTTGTTAAAATACTAAATTTAATAAATATTAATATTAATTTCTACCTTAATTTGATGTTAATTTTGATAAAAAAAAAATGGTTAGTTAATAATATTTATTGAATAAATATATTCACATTTTATAAATTTTTTTACGATATAATTAAAAATATGTAAAAATATCAATGAAAATGTTGCGGAACAAAAAAGAATTTTTTTTTCATAGCGTTCATTTTGGTGGTCTTTCAATATTATTTTTAGGGACTAAATAGTTAATTTTTTAAAGTATAGGGACCAACACGATAATTATAAAAGTATATGGACTAAAAGAAAATATTTAAACTTTTTTTAAAAAATCGTTCTCCTTTTTCTAGTATTTATTTTTTAAATACTATTTTGTCTATTATACTTTTCATAATCAGTGAGGCGAATGCGTCCCGAGAAAGTCATCGAGGACGATAACTAAATTAAGTGGGAGAGAATGTTCTGCAATACAATTGTGCCCCGAGTAAGTCATCGAAGACGATGACTAAGTTAAGTGGGGGAGAATGTCACAATGATACTATGAAGAGAGTAGGTTGTGACCCTCACGTCATGACAAGTAAAGCGGTGTCTGTCAAGAGATGTCCATTCCGTCACATGCACGAATAAATGATAATTTTTTAAAAATGTATTTTAAACTAATAATTATTTAATTCATATAAAAAAAATCGCATCAAATCTTTTCTTTTCTTTTGGACTTTACTTTTAAAAATGGGTTTTAAAGTAATAATTACGTGTTCCTCCCTTTTTCTTTTCTTTATTTCCATTAAATGACTATTTTTTTTTAAATGTTAAATAATTTAATTAATAAATGATTATAATATTAATTTTAATATTAATTTATGCAAAAATGTTTTTCACATTAAATATTAACTTTCATTTTTAAATAAATTATTTGAAATTAAATATAATACTATTATTTCTTATATAATATACCTTTGATAATATATATATATATATATATATATATATATATATATATACACGCACACCATATTACTACTTAGAGTAGTTACGAATACACAAATAGTTGAATTGATTAAGATATTAATAACCATATTTTCGTTTTCATATTGGAACTCGATATAACTACAATTAACTAAATAAAATGTAACGTCTCGTGTTCAAGATTTGAAATATGAATTCAGCATCTGATGGTCTCAGCATTCCCTTGTATTTCTTGCGACATGGTCACATTACTTATTATGCGCTTTCGTGGACAATGTTGGTGTATGTTTGAGGCTCGGGTCATGTTTGAGAGAAATGTTTTAAAAACTGTGAGCGAGAAAATACATTGAAGACAATATTAAAGAAAGAATTGTTATAAGCTAAAACGAATTTAATAACATATAACCCGAATATGAAGAATTGACAACTAATGACATCTCCTCTATAATACATTTTTGGGGCATTTTAGCCCTGACGGGTGTAGACATGATTTTGGCGATCGGTCGCGGTCATACACTCCCGTGTTGACACAACAATAATAATAAAGACCTAACTAACATGAAATCAAGTAGAAGGGATTCGTACATGCATGCACCCATGGACAACATGTTCTAGACAAGTATGACCGGGATATCCAACATGCAACCATAAGTAACACGTCTTGGAGAAGCATGACCATGACAGTTAGGAAGAGATTTGCACACTCTTATAAATAACGATTGTTCGTCTCTCCAACCGATGTAGGATCTCACAATTCATTCTCCTCTAGGGCTCAGTATCCTTACTAGCACATTGCTTTATGACCACCCCTTTCTCAGCTTAGTCCTTTTCTGGCACATTCCCTGATGTCTAGCTCTGATACCATTTGTAACGGTCTAAGTCCACCACTAGTAGATATTGTCCTCTATAAAAAATGATATTCCCCCTCTCCAACCGACGTGGGATCTAACACTGTGTGCTTGGCTTCCACTTTTGTCTTCCTCCAGCTTCAAGTCATCTCCCTCACTTTTGGGGAAACTGGATCCGTAATTTCTATTACCTCCTTTTGCGAAACCCTGATTCCATCTCGCATCTTGGGATTATTCACTGTTAAGGTCAAACAACCAAATTGATTCGGTCTCATAGCTTGAAATTATTGTTGTTAAGGTCAAACTATAGTTTGACTATAGCGTATGCAGTAGAAACGTCTTGAATTTTTTGTTCGTAGAGATATATCTCGTTGAGAAACGAAGAGGAAATGTTTACGGAATCTCGAAAAAAAGAATATTAGAAGAGTTCGGGATCGAAAACGGACAAGAATGGACCCAAAACAATGTGTTTGCTTTATGGAGTAAGAAAAGAAAATGTGAATTGAATTTGATTCAAAAACTTTGTCTTTAATTGTTTAGAACAAAACCAACAAACAAATCTTCTATTAAATGATTCCCTTTTGTTTGCATGCTTCTTTACACACATATGGATTCAAATGTGACACATCTTTATTTTCTTATATATTTTTTGTATTATATCAAAATTATTCATATAACATTTTTTTTTATAATTAAAAAAAAAAAACCCTTTTTGTTCGGTTTCTATTTCATTAATGGTATTTTATTTTTAGAAAAATGAACGTTTCTATAACGACCCAAATCCACCCGTAGCAGATATTGTCCTCGTTGGACTCTCCCTTTCGTGCTTTCCCTCAAGACTTTAAAAGGTGTTATGCTGGTTTCTACACTCTTATAAAGGGTGTTTTGTTCTCCTCTTCAACCATTTATATTTTAAAAAATTTTAAATATATTTCTATACTTAATTTGAAATAAAAATCATTAGTATTTATTTTATTTTAAAAAAATAGGCTTAACTTTTAATAATGTTTTTGAAATATTTTAAAAAGTTTCCTTCTGTTCGTAAATATGTTAGATTATTTCTAAATTTTTAACGTTACTTTCATGAGTATTTTTAAAACGTACTGCTAACTAGAAATGATTTATTATTATTATTTTTTAAGTTTAAATTTTTAAATTTTTGAATTTTTTTTAAAATCTGAATAGTATTTTTGGAACGTTTTTTTAGATCGATACTATGTATTACATTTTTAGTCCTATGTTTTTCAAACCTCGATTGATTCATTATTTGATTCAAGTTTATCGAATAATTTCTTATAAATGATACTAAAAAGAGATAACTACGAGATTAAATCAGTTATAATCATAATTAATTTATCAAATTAAAAAGTCACGTCCTTATCATTTAAGATATCTAAATTGATTCAAGATATCGACACATTTTTCATAAGTATTTTATTAATTTATTTTTTTTTACGTATTCATCGAAATAATATAATTTATTATCAATTTGAACATAGCTCAATAAATTAGACAATATTATTAATATAAATTATCATTTAATTCAAGATTCTATCTGAATGAAGGATTTAATAGACAACTCGAACATACAATTCAAATGAGTTGATCACAATTTTCTCGTTTAATAAACTACCTCGATGTTTAAGTTGTATTTTGGTGACAAGTTTAATTTGTTGGATGACGAAAGTCCAAGCTAATTTAGGGAATGGTCATAGGTTTATCATCAAGGAATACTTTTTCTATTGGTATGATGTTTTTTGGGAAGCTCAAACCAAAGCGATGAGAGCTTATGTTCATACTATGCTCAAGAGTCGTCTAACGTTAGTATCAGAGTCATGCCTTAAACTTAGTCGTGCCAATAAATTGGTAAATCCTCAAATGTCGAACAAATGACTCCAAAAGAAAAGGAATTAAGCCTCCTCGAAGGCAGAGTAATAAATGACTAAGACTCCAAATGAGTCGAGCCTCGATTAAGGAGAGGCATACTTTGTTCGAAGGGAGATTGTTGGATGATGAAAGTCCCACATCGGCTAATTTAGGGAATGGTCGAGAGGAGGTGTGAGAGGTTATGCTTAAAGTGAACAATATCATACTATTATGAAGAGTCGTGTTTGTCTAACATAATTATTCTTGGATCACAAGTTTCTGGATATACAGTTTAAATGAGTCGATATCGGTCTCCTCATTAGTATGATACTCGTTGAACCAGTCATCAATAGATAAAAGCCGTTGCTACCTTAACGTTTAAGTTATGCTCGGGTCGATAAGATTAATATAACATATTCCATACTCTTAATCCATAAATTCTACAAAACATAACACCTTAAATAACCCACATTTTTTCCATTCTTATTCAATGTTACAAAAAAAAAAAAAAAAAAAAAAAAAAAAAAAAA